GTTTTGTCAACATGCGCCTTGACATCGACCGCATATATCAACAACTCAAGAAGTAAAATCTCCGGTGCTTCGAAAATTGGAGTCCGAAACGAGATACGCAACGAAGAACTCAAGCAACTGCTTCGGCCGCGGGGGAAAATGGGCAATAACCACGGGATGCAAGTCGAAGGCGTCACTTTCAAAAGTCTCATGTCTGTCCATCCCGCATAGACGATTCAATCAGTGAGATTGCCCCTCGCGTATCGCTGTGCTGACGATACCACCTCATGGTGGTGAAACATATGTGACCACTTAATCAAGCTCGACGAACCAATCAACAGCTGAACAACCAACCCGGGCTACCAGTGTTTCAACTTATTTCGAACACAAAATCCTTCTCCAAGATTGTCAGGAACCAACTCCTGCACGGACAGCTGGTGATGAACCGCTCAAAGCTGTCTAGAAATTTAAGTACCTGAACAGCTTTATTAGCGCCCTTGGGATCGAAGATAGGTTCACGAGCCATATACCAAAAGCTCTAGGCACTTTTGCCAGTCTCTGTTACCTGTGGCCTCGGCGTTACATTACTCTTGCTCTGAAGTGCGGAGTTTACAATGTAGCCGCTCGTTCAACCCTTCTACATGGTTGTGAAATCTGGCCCTCCAAGACGACAGATTTAGAGAGGCTCGTCACCTTCGACCATCGCCGCCTTCGCTGCTTCGCTTATGTCTGGTAGGAACACCGCGTGAGCAGTGAACGTGTTCGACGCCTTATTTATGGCACCGTTGTATCACGCACCAGACTCTGATGACTAGCCCACGTGTTGCGCATGCCGGCACACCAACTCCCGCAACGTGCGTTGTTTGCGCGCCAGGAGTCTGGATGGAAGAAGAGGGGTGGCCAATCGATAACTTATTCAAAAGGAATTAAGTCCCTCGCTTCAAAGTTGGCGTCGGTTGGTGCGTCCTGACTGCCCGGCTGGGTACCCAAGGCCAATGAACAAGCCCGGTTGGATACACTGGCTGACATGGCGAAGCGCCCACCTTAATTGAGTTTGTGTTGTTGGTCTCTTTGTTCCTCCCCTCCCTTCTAGCTTCCCTCCAACGACAATCTCAAACCGTATGCATAGTGTGATATTTAGCCTTATGTTACTGTTTATGGCTTTTTAGTTTATATCATTTAATGTTTTGTGTCTTGCGGCACATTAGCTGAGGTGTGTTTCCCACCGTCGGCTACCTTGCATTTCTGATGGGGATGATGATGACGATAATGAGGAGGAGAAGGATTTGTATGTATGATGGGCGGTATCAGATTCCGGATTGACCTATCGCTGTGTCCTCCAAAGGGCAAGCACAGGACATCTGCGCCTACGGAGTGACCATGGGTGACTTGCGCTGCACTACCTACAGCTCCATCCACACACTTTATATCCACTGTAAACCTGATGGAGTAAGACCGGGAGCTATGTGGATTGTAGCCACATTTCATTAACGGAGCCGGCCCACACTTCTTTAATACACACAGCAGCAGCATTACTGTCTGTCTACTTGAGGAATCATGCGCACTATACGCACACGAGGCGGAGGCTGGGCCGTTGCCCATTCCACGAGGGATGCATGAAACCACTATTTGAGCGTAGCAAGTTCAAGAGGACCGTGAATGATTGCGGCTTCTGGCAACCACAAGAGCTTGCCAATACACGCTGCTGACTTTTCAATGATTCAACTAACTAGCCACTCGACGACGACGAGCTGATAACGTGAACTGTTATTATGTTGGGCCATAGTTGCCTCAGTGATTCGAAACTTGAAAGGACGAGGCAGATTCCGCATTTTGTAGCCTTCTTTTGCAGGCAATTCAGCGGCGCTTGTGCAAATGCTGGGTTTTCTCATATTTAGGAAATATCACTTGTGCGCTCTTTGCTCCCCCGCTGGTCACTTGGTATGTCATGCAATCAAAAATGATCCATGCTACACTGGTCGATTTAGGACCACTTGGAATTTAAATCCTAATGAGGATGTTGAAATTTTACTTTCTCGATGCACTTTACTTGCGTACTCGTAGGCTAGGTCTTTGATATTGCTTTATGTAGCGTTTGGGTTAATATAAACCACCCCGACGTGCGTTTTAGTAGAATGTGCGCTACGAATCGCCGCCATCCATCAAATCGAAGGTAACCCTCACTTCATAAAAGGTGACTACTCCAAGCTGTACATCTGTGACATTGTTATTATAGTGAATGCCTTTACCATCTTATTAATGATATTCGAAATTTCCTTTGAATTGCACTTTTTTATTCTTGTTGAACAACGTGCATCTACTGGTTTGTATCACGGAGCGACTTACCCCATGGCGGCTGCCACTTAAGTGGTAATCCATGGACCGAGGGCATCACATCTCTTTTCACCCAATGGACTCTTATGTGGTGCGGTCAACACAGGTGTATCCCTGCAGGGCTCATGAGGGAGAGGCAAAGTCCAGCACCTTGCGGGAGCAGTAGCACACAACTCTTGTACCGAATATAATTTACCAAACAAAATCCCTTCATCCGTGCCGTTTAAACAAATAACTATGGTCCGTGCACAGCATTGCGATGGATACTGTTGTTCCGATTCTCGTGACTTGGGTTACAAAATTACTACGGGGAGAAAGTGAGGCAGAACGCGTAAACAATACAAAGGAAAGGAAATTAGGGAAGGGAAGGGTAACATTTATCGGGATGGGTTATCCATAACTAGCTACATGAAGCCGAATGCAGGAACCTCACTGACCGTGCGACTGCGCCGTGTCCTATAGCGTCTCCAAGCGCTAGCATTAGCCATGCTTAGGCCCGCACTCACAAAGACAGTACTCACCAGCCTTAGCCCATCTCTCAGTTAATTTCTTCGTGCCTTTGTATCACGTAATCGACTGATCATCTCGCGGTTTCTACTAACTGGGTTCAGCGTCAGCATATTATACCCATGGTGAATGACGGTCAAATGTCACAGAGAGGGCAAACTCAACCAAGGTAAGCGAACACTTTGGTGAGACACCAATGGGTTTCGTACCGAGAACCAACTTGTGGATCCTGACATTGTTCACCCTGTATCCCTTCCATATATGAGTGGTATTCCGCAAGCATCGGAAGTCAAAACGGCCAAGTGTTTAATATCTCTCTTTTGAACTAACTGGTTTTCGGGTCCCTACAGTAACACCGGTTTTATTACATCATTACGCACCTTACCTCTTACTGCAAAAGTGATATCTCACCGTCCGCATCGGTCAGCAGTTGGGCCGGATTACGGACCAAATGACTACTGCAGTCCGCATAATCATTCTGCAAAATACTTGCAAATCAGAACAGTAATTCTGGGAGAAAGCAAAATAAAAACGCGGCACGCGGTGTCCACTTTTCTTTTCTCATTAGTCATATAAACAGAATTTGAACAAGAGCAATAGCTTGAATTACAAATAGTATAAAAATCTTGAATCACACCAGAAAAATAGAACTTCAGCCTACTCACAGTACATATGAAATTCACAGATGCCCTCGGTAATTGAATATATCGCATAGGGAGCAAAGCACTTGGAAAGCTTGAGCAAAACGTTTCCAGAGAAGTCAAATCAACCAACATAGATGTAACTGGTTACCGCACTATTCACATGTAATTGGCAACACTAAAATGTACATACCCCAACACTTTGAACTTCAGGCCAATTCCTCGGCCTCAAATAACCAGTAAATACGATTTTAGAATGACAGATGTACAAATTAATGTGGTATTAATACCCGCGGGCCGTGGTTTGGTGATTCCTATCATAGATGGTCGGGCCCCTGAATATAGCCACACGGGCTTTACTGATACGCTCCTCCTCAGTGATACGACCGTCAGTGGTGACACAACTACCAAGGTAAGCGAGCCTATCTACTAGTTCTGTACATGTTCGCTGATAGCCAAAATCGGTGGCGTATCCGTAGTATCTTGCAACATTACTTTGTACTTTGAACATACAATACACATACCGAAGCGTGCAGCGCTGCTCACCAGTCTGTTCTGTTGTGATTGCACAGCCTCTACATCAGATCTAAGGAGATCTATATGTCCGCATACTCAAGGATTTTCAGCCGATCACCTAGCAGAACTTGCTGAGTGCAACCTCTACGGTGATTTACTACAGTGCGTTAACAGTCCGCGGGTTAGGGACACTGCCTGTCTGGATTTAAGGTGCGGGGTTCAAGCCACTCACATTGGTGCTGCACGATATCACCCAATTTGTAACAGGTAATCGTTAAAAATTTTTGGTCTGTGAAGCATGATCGAACACAACTGATGTCGGAAGCACGTCTACACTCGTGCTATCCCATCCTTTTATGATAGCCGTTTGTCCAGATATGGGCATCTCTTTCCTGCGTTGTAATATCCTCCATACTAGGCAAGTTCCATTTACAGTGGATTAACATACTCTCCCCAGCTTCGCCTCTGAATAGCTAGTCGATTCTGTGTTTGAATAGGTGAAGCATAAGTGCAATTATCGGTATGTCAAAGGCATCGGCTCCATAATCCAGTACCGAGCTTATAGTGCCTTTGTCTTTATAATGTATCTCCGGCGTAGTTCCCACCCCTTATGGGATGTTGCTTAGAAGTTGTCCGCTTCGAATTGACCGACAGAAAGCGGTACTCAGTTGAAAGCTTTGTCAGCTGACTCTTTGTATGAGAACAGGTAAAACCAGCAGCTTATTCTCACAGACTTCAGCTCCAATCATGCATGCTTTGTAGAAGTCTGCATGTGTTAACTGAAAAACTTGAAGCAGAACAACTAATCACAATTTATTCAAAAGCTAACATGGACTGATCTAACTAAATCTCCCTGAATTTTACTGTGTGTTCTAATATTTGACCGAATTTTGATATGTCATTCTTAGCATGACCTTTGCCAATGCAACCTGGTGGTTACTAATTATTTTTATCCGAAATTTTGGGCTTTTAATGTATAACTATCCTTTTGCGTTCATTCATTGTGAACTATTTTCATTTTAGCAACTAGTCTCCAAATTACTTGATTCATCTGCAAAAGGAATTAGCCGACCGCCCAGTGTGAGTACGGTGCCGTCCGTTGAAATGCAGCTACCGGATGAGCTGGTAAGTACCAAATCACGGATCACTCATGTATTGTGTTTCAGCTGGCAATCAAATCTATATGGTGTAATGAGCCTCCCCGATTGGTCATGTTTGGCAAACCATGCGCCAAGAAGACGACGTTAGCTCGAATGCTCTGTAACGCATGGGACTGTCATTATGTTAACGGTAAGTTGTGTTGTATAACTCTTCCTGGGTTTTTCCCCTAAACAGTCGTTTGCACACAACTCCGTTTGTTCCGTACTATAACTAACTTCTAATAAAGTGGCCGAACTGAAAGATCGCCACGCTGCCGGGTCATATGATATCATCGGTATCACTAAGACGTGGTTGCACACGGGAATGACGGAAGCTGAAGTTTCGCTACCGGGCATGTTGCTGATCCGCAACGATAGTGTCACAAAACGAGGAAGAATAATTCTGTATTACCGAAGCGACTTAGATTGCGAAACCGTGGAGGATTCAGACTCGAAGTTCCCCGACTCTCTTTGGTGCCGCTTGTAGTTAAAAGGCAGGGACGCTTGCCTTATTGTCTTGGTGTACCGCCCCCTTAACTCTACACCCGAAACCGGCTGCCACCTTGCGGCTGCGTTAAGATGAAGTCTGAAGCGAAAGTACACTCACATTCTTATCGTGGGTGATTTTAACGTATATTGGTTAGAAATCCCTGCCACGATCGGAGAACAATTCAAAGCCGATCTACAAGAGCTCCTAACCACTGTCCTACTTTGAAATCACATCATTGCCCACTAGGTTCAGAACAGGTAACAAGCCATCTGTGCTGGATCTTGTGCTTACCACTGAGGATCATGTGATTGATGTGTTGGTTTTAGACTGCCCGTTGGGTCGCGGTGATCAGTTACAACCGTCTGCTATGCGCAATATCGGAATAAGAACGATGAGACTGTGAAAACCATCACAAGCTATGATCGATTAGCCCAGCTCGTCAGCGCCACAACTTGCATTCCTTGCCGATGAACCCCCGGAAGTCGCCTGGCTCGAATTCGTCAACAGATTGACTCAGCTGATTGCAGAGGCTTCAGAGATAAGCGTTTGCAAAAAGTATACATCAGTTTCTTTCGATAGGATCAGAACTCGAAAATGGTTGACAGTACGCAACGCAGCATGGCGAGTGTACAGACAAGTTCCAGCATCAGGAACTTGGGACAACCACGTAGCCCAACGTAAACACTGCACTCAACTGCTAAGAGAAGACAAAGCCGCCTATCAGCAGAACATCGCAAAAACCTTCAATGCCAATCAAAAACTGCTGTACAGGCACGTCAGTAGCCTACAAAAGGTGAGGAAAGGATTTCCTCCACTCAGGACGGTTGCTGGCCCGACAAGAACGGCTGTGGAAGCAGAAAACGCGTTGCGGATTAAATATGCCCCCACGTTTCAGAGGGTCTTGCCATCAAGCGATCTTCCAGGCTTTGTCGTCTCTTCGTGAGGACTAACCCACTTCACCTTTACCGCAGAGGCTATATTGTAAAATTTGACATCTCTACGCAAACACAGCTCATCGGGTGTCGATGCCATTCGTCCAGAGGCACTGGAAGCAGCAGCAAGCCAACTACCAAAACCTGTAGATCAGATTTTCCAGCGCTTAGACCAGAATCAAGTTCGCGCTAGGTGGAAGCTTTGAATAATAGCCACGATTCACAAAGGTGGAAGCAGAACTGATCCCTCCAACTACCGCCTAGTATCTCTTCCTCCTATCTTCTCAAAGTCCATGTAATCCATTGTTGCAGATGTACTTGTGTGTTGTCTGGAAAACTGCAACATCACCTCGGCTGAGCAACAGGGCTTCCGTCGACCGCGGTCATGCACAACGAATTTACTACTCGTACGCAGTAGTTGGACCGAGTCAGCGGACGCTGGAGAAGGCGCTGATATGATCTACCTAGATTTTTCGAAGGCTTTCGATATTCTAGACCAGGCATTCTCAACCTTTATTCAGCCGTTGCCTCTTTTGAATCTTTCCATTTCTGGTGGCTTCCCACCCTTGATCACCACGACCTCAGTGATTCCCAGCGCTTAACCGATGTAAATCTGGGATTTCCAGTGCTCGTATTTATACCTTTTGTTTTGATGGCTAAATTGTTAATGTTGATAGCACAGCTCTTTACCTTAAAAACCTCATTTTTTAATTTTTACAGCCTCCAGATAACATTCATTGTTCGGCAACATTAAGCCACTCGATTTTAATCAAACAAAAGATGTCATATGTGTCTGAAATTGTATTTATTTATTGTTGGCTTCTATTCCTAAAACATGTCATCTAGTATCAGGTGTAGTAACTTCGTACCAATATGTTTTTCGAGATATTGATGCAAGCCTTGCACCTGATGCCTTTGAGTAAGCTTGCTTGTGTCCGGCTCCAGACTTGACAGCAAGAGTCGAAGATCTTTTCTTATTTTGATGTACAACATGTTTTTATCTTTTGTAAGAGAAATCACTTTGATGAATTCACATTCAATCAAGTAGGTGGATGGAAAAGTAAGGAAATACATTTCGGGCATTTCTCACAATCTGGGATACCTGTTAGGGGCAGCATTCTTTATTCAAAATCCCAGTTATATTGGGTGCATTTGCATCTTGCTACTGTGTCACTTTGAAGTTCTATGAGACTTTCGTGGATTTCAACTTCAACCTCGCGGGGATGTACATCAAACGGACCTTAAATTCAAATCGGGATTTCCATGTCAATCAGGTAATGGAACCCGCCTTTCGTTTCTTTTCGTACTTGTTGTAAAGGACTGGCGTCCTCCGGCTCCTCCATGATTGTAATGATTATTTGAAACTGTGAAAATCCCAGACGTCCAATGTTTTGAGGACGCATTTTCAGTTTTTTAAGAAAGGCGATTCTGTCTTCTTTACTCGAGTTGTGTTTTTCGAAAACATCAAACAGATAAAACCCGTCTAGCTTAGCTATTAATAGTTTTCTTTCATAATCAGTTCCAGAAACAACTGTGATGATAGTGCCCCGGAGTGCAACAAAACGGCGAAGGCACTTGCTCTAGGAGAGCCATCCAACTTCTCTATGCAACAATAGAACCTGAACATCTGCACTGTTCTCCACACACAACTGCTGTAAAAGCCGTTTTCTAGGAGGGGACGATTTGATATTGTTGACTACTATTATAACAGTTGATAGTGGATTGTTTAAGCACCTTCCCAAGTTCTTAACACCTATGTTCTCTCGATGAATCACAGCGGATTGTGTGACCAGAATGGAGAACATTTTTCAGATGTGCAATAAATTCCTCATATCTTCCGACGATTGCGGCACCACCATCTGTTGTGCACACGCAACTATGTTTTGTATTGGTATGGAGTTTCCAGTCAGATAGTTATTGACTACCTCAAATATAGACTGGCCCTTTGTTTGAGAGTTAATTCTCTTGGTAAACACCACCACCGATTCATCATCACTGAAGAATCGGATACATACCACGAGAAGAGCGCTGTTGTCAGGTAGAGTACATTTATCTACTTGTAAGGAGAAATTTTTTGACTGGTACTGCAACTAAATTGCTTTCTATGTCCTGAGGCATCTCGTTTGCTCGCCTAGATACAGTCGTATTGCTGAGCTGAATGGCTTGAACTACTTTTTGTGGGTTCATATTCATCAGGTCAGAGAGTATTATGGTTACTGTAGGCGAGTTATTTTCGCTGCAATTTTTGGCAGTCAACCTGCTGTTCTTACAAGACTCCGTAAGTACATTCGTCAAAGTTTTGCCCTGTCAGGAACTGATGTCTTTAAAAAGTTGTTCCGTTTTCGAAACCACCCCGCAGCCTTCTGCAGAAATCCACAGAATTTCCGCTTTCCTCCTTATGAGCAATTTCCAAGTGATTTTTCATTCGAAAGAGTGTTTCGGCAAATTAAACACATAGATAAAGTGGAGTTTTGTGGTGATGCGATAAAACCAAATGACTGATACTCCATGTTGTGCTGCAGATACTTTGAAATATCCTATTCTAAATTGTTAAAATGTAATGCAATATAATATTGTTATTGTTTTATTTTTACTACACAGTTATGCGTGTTGAATATTCGACAAGGCGAAACACGCAGGTAGTATTAATGATGGGTGGTCCTAAATTTATTCCTGCTTTAGCGTGAGGTTATATACTAAAAAGTTTGCTAAGCATACTTATAAGGTTAAAATGTAAAAGTTAGAAGCACTGTTAGAAGCAACCCAAAGGATGACTTCGAACATACTGTGAATAACTAAAATGGCTGAAGAAAGCTCTTGACGAAGGCCAGTGAAGAAAATGAATGGAACTTAGATAACGGTGATGCTCATTGAACACATGCATTACAGGGAGTTGTGGCAAACGCCAATAACGGGTAAAATGAAAGAAAGAAGAGACGAACGCGGTAGAGATTACTGGACAGCGCAAGAAAACGGCATGGGAGAGTCAACAACAAAACGAATAACGTACATCGCTTATTACCAACATGGCGCCCAATGCGTGTTAACAAAGCGTTTGATCATCTTGAGCATTTATACAAGTGTCCTTATGTACACATTATGTTGTGTATATTCACCGCAGAAATCAGATGTCTACACTTATAATGTAAGTTAACAAAACTGCTCGCTAATTTGTAAACTTCTGTTGAACTGAATGTTAACAAAGCGTTGTAACGTGTTCTAGCTGTTTTTTGACTCAGTCGGAACGAACGAACGTTCTTCAGAGTTAGCGCTCCACGCGCGCATAGTAGGCACTCGGATTCGAAACGTTGCGGGTCAACGTGACCTAGCCACCAAAGGAACACGAGAGCTGAGACTGGAGAGGAAGAACGTGTACTCTCGCGCTACTGAACTGAGACCCGAACGAGAAAGAATGACCGGCACATGAATTTCCACATAGTGGTTGTGTCCTGAGGAAAACAGAGTCTCAGTGTGGCTTTGTGCGGTAGACGCCGCAATGTTCTAACGAGAGTTCGCTAGGTTCACTGCAGCTCGCACTAGATGCATCAGTGTCCTGAGTAAACCTCATTTGGTTCACTGTGGATAAGGACTGTGGACGAATCGGTTGTTAACTGTGCAGTCTAAGCCGGCATATGGTGATTGTACTTCTACGTTGATCCCGGCAAAATCTGCGCAAGTTTGACGGGGATCTGCCCGCATCAGAACGGAAAGTCTTTTCGGCCTGGATTC